GATTGCAAAATTCCAAGGTGTATGACACTTCAAGAATAATTACATTCTGACCTGCACGTTTGTCTGGGAGTGGGGGTTAGGCCTGTTTGCAGTGGAATGAGCAGAAACTGATTTTATCAAGCATCCCTAGAACTAGAATCTGGCCCTCATCTACAGTGCAAGATGATGTCCCTTCACCAGTGTTTAAAGTTCGATCTCTCTGACAGACTAGCCAGGTTCTATAAGGGGAATGGGAATAGGGAGGACGTCTTGCCTCAGGCAACAGTAACTGCCTGGGACAGGAGCTACTAAGGGCTTATTCACTGTCTGTCACTGGACATCATCACTCACCAGTCTTGGCACAGAATGCACACTCTAGTGAGACTGAACCAATGGAAGGCATCCTTTGCTCTGCCATGAGCCCTGTTGCCACACCCTCCCTGTTTTTTGAACGGGTGGCCTTGTTATCTTTTCTTTACTAGCAGTTGTTAACTACTCTGAAGCATCCTTTTTTCCATGTTGGTTACCCCTCTACCAACAGTTTGTTACAACAGCTTCCTCATTAAAATTAAGGAGCAGGAAAACCAAACCTCAATTCCTGTCATTAAACATTTGTAAGCTGTGGGGAAAGTCAGATGGCATCGGACTCCTGTGGTTCTGGACCCATCTCTGCAGTAAACATTGTTTTTTAAAAAGTGCTTTTTTTGGAGGAATAGTTTACATACAGAAAATTTCTATAGATTAATAAAGGTAGAGTAGATGGAGATTCTGAATGACAGATGTAGGTCTGGGAATGTAGTCTTAACATCTTTTAAAACTTATTTGTGGCTTACATACTTCCTAGCTAGCAGCTGAAATGTGGTTTGAGAACATCCGTTCATGAATATTTGTCCATAGAATTGACCTTGTTTTCAAAACTTTTCATTGCTCGAGAAAATTTCTTTGCCATTCTCCAAATGGTTGAAAATCATGAGTCATGACTACATTTTAAATATAATTTTAAAAAAACAGGGTTCTCTTTATTTGCCTTTCCATTTTTGAGCATTTATGAGGCAAGATAGACAACTGAAAAGCCAAATTAATTTCTTCTTTTTTAAAAAAAAAAAGATGAAAGAACTATAAATTGGCACAGATTTTCCCCCAGTAACGTCATAACTACATGCTTAAAAACAGAAATCAAACAAAACAAAAATACTCTACAAAAGTGCAATGACTAGTACAGCAAGCAACCATAAAATAAAATTTATTTTTATTGGATTCTTACAGCTCAAATGAACTGAAATTTGTGTACAAAAAAACCAGTATAACCCAAGGCAAAGATAGACAAGGAGAAATCTGTGTTTTCTCTTTTGCTTAAAACAAACAAATAAATATCAGCCATGGGGGAGGCTGAATTGTCCTGAAGTGATGGGAAGGGGATACACCTTTTCCTGTTGGAAAAATCATGTTGGTATCCACATAGTTTCCCCAACAGGGCAGATAGTAGTTGCTAGCTGGGTGGGAATGGGGACTTAGATCAGGAAAATGATGGAGGGTGGGAGAGAGAAGATTAGCCCACCCTGAATGCTCCAGTCCTGATCCAATCCACTCTGCTTTTTCTTTGAAAAGGGAAATTTTGGAAGGTTCCGTCATAGGTTCCCTCATCTCATCTGCTCCTGACATTAAGACAGGGCAATAGTTAATATTTATTTATTTCATGCCTGTATAAACCCAGCTGGCTGAGGCAACCAGACAGCACAGGCTAGAAACAAGCCAGGATTGTTGCTGCTGAGGAGCTGGCTTGGGAGGACCATATGGAGTGAGTGTGGAGGCCTGCTGCTCATGGATTCTGTCATCTGAAGCAGCTATCTAATGTAAGGGCTGGCCCTGGAAACCACAATAGCTGAGAAAGAACTGGAGTTTCTTTTAGTTCACTATGGTTGGTCTCTAGATAAGGGGTGAGGAGCCTGTGACCCGCCAAATGTTGTTGGACTCCTACTCCTATCAGCCTCAGCCAGCGTGGCTAATAGCCAGGGGTGATGGGAGTTGCGCTCCAGCAATATCTAGAGAGTCACAGGTTCTGCTTCCATGGCTGAGTTTACTCAAGCCCTGATGCCTCATGATGAGTTCTACTGCTTTGGATCGATCGGTCTTGTTCCCATCTCATCAGTGGTCCATCCAGTTTTGATAGCTCCATTACCCTTTCACCTTGAAGCTTTCAGGAACTCCTTGAGTATCAGTCATTGAAGGGGCAAGACACAGGGCTCATACACGCTTCCATTTGCCCCACCACTTTCCCCCGGAGAAACCGACGGTTTAGCACTGAATCGGAACAAATGGCAATCATGTTTTCCGCTAAAGAGCAGGTTTTCCAGGAGAAAGAGGTTGGCCAAATGCAAAACCACTCAAACACATGCCTGGAAAGTGGACAACCACTCAGATCCATGCTTTCTAGGCATGGGACAAGCGAAAGTGTGGACGAGCCCATAATAATGCTCACTTACTTCCAGCCTTGTGTAAGGTTTGCTGTATGAATCTTTCTCCTTCTTCAAGAGGCCTAGGCTGATACTGAATCATTACAGGAAACAAAATGGAGGTGCGTTCTATACCACATAGCCAGGCAGTGTTGGAACGTGGCAACTTGCCATCCTTAGGTTTTCTGTTTCAGAGACCCCTATCCTTTTCTACTGTGCATCATACCTTCCACAAACATTTGTTACTGCCAATTGCCTAACTAGGCCTCTTGATGCATCTCATGTGTTTGCAGCTCTGCATTAAAACAAAAACAACCAAAAAATCCACCTTCTCCTTGAGATTTGAGGCAAGTTTGCTTGTACGTTACCACAGCAACTGGGGAAGCAGCCTTCTAAGATTGCTGCGTGAGTCCTCAACCACTTTAATAGCCTTATTGGCAAAGCCCATAGCCCACAATGATATAACCAGAGCCTTTGAGAGGAATGGCCTCCTTTTAATGAGGAAAACTCCTGCTCGCTCGCAACTGTTAATGTCGTAAAGGGGCAATTTTTATGGCAAAGCCTGAAATAAATAATTAAACCTTAAAAGCTCCCCCATTTTAACGTGCGGCCAGCTAGATCTGCAAAAATCCAGGGCTGCCAATTATTTTAACAGTTCCAACCTGTTCCTCTAGCGCACACCCTCCTCCCTCTCCCACGGGGGAAAGGGGAGCGTTTCTGATTAGCTCTTCAGAAAGGGAAGGAAACATGTTAGGAGCTTTTATGCAGACTTGCGCCATTCAATTGTCTTGAGAAAACAACAAATCATTGCCCACAGATGAAAGATTGAACAGGTGCTGCTTGACTTTGTATAGCAGCAGGAGCAACGCAACGGCCTCTGATCGCAACTACTGTTTGGGGGGGACGTTCTTCTCTGCTCTTTACTGTAGCTGAGGGATCCTCATCAGCCTGTCCCAGCAGTTTTCCTTTTAAAGGAGGCATTCTGTGGCTTGTGGTTGCTCAGGTTGGATTTTGAAAACAGGCCACTCATTATGTGAAACATTACACATTTGGTTTCATGGGCATGTCAGCTTTTCCAACATGCCTTATAAATGAGTTTTACAAAAACCTGACACCTCCTGTGATTGTTTCTGGGGATGCTGCCACTGGATTGCCCATCACCTTTTTTTGTTCCATGTTATTTTACAGAGCTGGACATCAGCAGAGGGTAGGGTTGCCACCTTTGGTCGAGCAAAATAAAGGACAGGTTGGGCAAAATAGGGGACAGCTTGGCGGCGGCGGGGGGGGGACAGGACTGGGCAGCTAAAAATGACTTTACCTGGTGCAAAAATGACTTCAAAGCAACCCATTACAATGGCACACATTGTACAACAAATGAGCACAACACAACCAAATGTATTGCGATACCTTAAAGACCAACAGTTTTATTGCAGCATAAGCTTTTGTGGAAAACAGTCAGATGCAGCTGACAAAGTAGACTTCAGTGCTCAACAGTGCATGCTGCAGTGTCAATTAGGCTTTGAGGTGCACTTGAATGAAAAAAACAAAAACAAAACTACGATCCACAAAACAACTTATTTATTAAATATGCTTATAGTCTGATTTTATTCCATAATAGAACTCTGTGTACATGGGATTTCTCAGTGGTCTTCCATCCAGGCATTGACCAGCCCCAAAGAACTGCTCAGCTTCCAGTTTTGGGACTTCCCAGATGCATCTGACTAGCCACCATGGTTACAAACTGCACCGCTAGAGATGCTAGTTTAGGTCTGTTCCAGCATGGTTCTTTTTCAATCCTTAACCTGCCCACATGCCACTGAGATGTCACACGCGTGCTCTGCATTGACAAAATTTGTGCAAGGTAGGTAAGATTTCATCAAGGTTGTGGGAACCACTTACAGTCATATCACAAACAGCTACCCTTGAAATCTGATTTGTGTGTGCACACAACTCAAGCTATCTGCTGCATCTGTTGTCTCCCAACCAACCTCTTGAGCACTTTATGTACATTTGCAGCATTCTTTGCTACCAGAAACGGACATGGGGTTTATCATGTGTGCACGGCAAGGGAGCAGACATGACACAACGAGGCTAAGAAGCTCCAGTCAGAACAATTTCAGAAGGTCAGACACAAAGCGCAAAGCCACATTCAGGGTTAGTGCTTTATTGTGTTGTAGCTCTTGCTGTAAAATAACCTCAAAATTAGCTCCAGCTGCTGGCATATTTCATCCCTTTGGTCTGTTTCGTATCTGGGAGAAAGGAAGGAAATAGCCACTTTTAAACACTGTTCCCTCTCTTCTCTCTCTCCACCCCCCCCCCGACACCCTGCCTGTGTTCTCTTTACTGCAGGGATATCATGAAACCAAGGCCACAGTCTTCCCACTGGCCCACTGTAATTTTTAATGCTTCCTGCAGGGTTATCCATAAAAAAGCAACATGGAAACATGATGCTTGAAATGAGAGACATTACTGACATCAAGGTTATGGGAAGGAGCAATCAGGTGATGCCTTCGTGCCACCATGTCATGACATCATAATGGGCAGGTACTGAGGAATCTAGAAGTCTACAAGGCTCTGAATATCCTGCAGACTTCGTTACCTAACAACACAGGGCTAGGAAGACTGCTTTTCCAGAATTTCATTTTAGTATTTAAAGAAAAAGAAAGTTTCTAGCCACATAACTGGTGAGAAATGTGGGATGGACCTGTTTCATGGGGTAGTTATAAACAGAACTGTGTAGCATTGTCTTCCACAGAAGTAGAGTATGTTGCAGCTACAGAAGCGTGCAGAGAGGTTGCCTTGCTCACCAACCCAAATAGTTTTATATTAACATGAATCATGTGTGTATTCTTTAAGAGGGATTCAAAGGGATTTTTAACCAGGAAGGCATCTTTAGTAGTAGAATTCAGACGAGTCAGCAACAAGCTGATCGCTGCATAAACTTACACAGGGGATTGTTTAACTCTGCTAAAGTAAACCTTCCCACAAGAAAACTGTGGAAAAGATACAGGTAGTAAGTTAATGAGATTTATAGTTTCCCCTGTGTCGAAGGCTTAGGGTATGAAACTGCAGCTTTTTAAAATGTTCCCTGAATTATAGATAAGAGCTATAAATATTACAGGTGTGCATAGGCCTCCAGATGGGCATTGCATGGATGCACTATGCTCTTAATTTCTTCAATCTGTGATGGAGATTCTGAGCTGCTCTGAGTGCAGCCTCTTCCTCCATGGAAAAGAGAGGTGCCACTGTTGATTTGCATAGAGGAAGGGGTGCACGTGCAGAAAAATTCATATGGGAAAAAATGGGGTGTAGTAAATGTCAGACATATCTAAGAAGGACTCTGCTACTCATAGTAAACACAACATCCCCTCACAGAATCCACAGCAGGCTGAACAAGGAAAAGAGCAAATTTTACAACACTCCAATGATGTCTAAACTTGAGTTTGGGAGAACTTTAAGGAGAAAGAGTCCTGCAATATGAAGTAGCCAGCACCAGAGAGACACTTCCTTTGCCATGCATAGCATCCCTGTATTGGTTCATGGAAGGGACTGTGAAAAGCATCCTCTTTGTCTAGACAAGGAATAATGGTAGGGAGCAGCCTTTTGTTAAAGTATGATGCATTCAAGGTACCTAAGGTGACAGCAAACATTTTGAATAGTGCCTAGAAGACAAAATATACTGTCTGAAACAAAAATAAGAAGCCCCTCTCCATCGTTGTCATCTCATCCTCCTCCCTCTCTGGCACGGTTTTCCTGTCTCTGTTAGGAGCCTTTTGACTAGTAAACATGAAGGATCAAGCTGGATGAAATTAGCAAAGCCACCAGTGACTTGTAACTCTTTGTTTCTTCTTGGCCAGTTCTTCTTTTAGTTTGCCTGAATATTTGAGTTTGCCTGAATTCATTCCAGCTGCAGAATATGGAGGCAAGGCCTGTTCACAAAGTTATTATATGAGCACAATGGGGACAGAAAGGCTGAGCAAATCCACAGGCTGTGAGAAGAGGCAGAGACAATATTTTAGATCTTAGATTGGTTCTTTCAAGGGAGCCTGTGGTGTGGTGCTCTTGTAACATTTTCCTTTTAAAATCCATATTTTATTTCATTCCTACGCTTGCAATAAACCAACAAAAAGCTGGACAGACAATACGACCAGAAGAACTTGGGGATGCATTCATATAACTGGACAAAGAAGGAAGAAAAGAAAATTAGGGAGGGGAAGAAGGAAGACGAGGGAGAGGCCAGAGCAATGTAAGATGGATGCAAATCCATCAGGGCTTTTTGACCCATATGAGGGATGATGGGATTTCAGTAGATGTACGCAGTTATATGAGACTGCCATAGACAATGGTTCAGAAACTTCAGCTGATGCAGAATACAGATTCCCAGGTGCGAATGGGGGCCAGAATGGCCACATCTGCGCTATCTATTTGAAGCTGCAGCAAACCACTTTAAACCATCATGGCTTTCCCCACGGAATTCTGGAAACTGTAGTTTGTAAAGGGTGCTGAGTATTGTTAAGAGACCTCTATTTCCACTCAGAGCTATAATTCTCAGAGTGGTTTAACAATCCCTAGGGAACCCTGGGAATTGTCATCCTATCCCTAACCCCTTCTTCTTCTCTCCTGCATCTCTTGTGCAGCCTTAAAATCTGTTGTTAATTGCTGAGTGGCCTTCTAGAGCAAATTGATGGGGGTCACGGGTGGAGAAGAAGAGAGGGAAATCTTAATGCATGAGTGAAACTACTCTCATGCAGTGTTGAATGCAACTTTCTATTTCACTTTCTCAGTGTTGGGGTGCGAGTGTGTGCCTAATACACTAACAGTGAGTGTTTGCCTAATGCAATAACAGCTGGGTCTCATTTATCTTTGCATATAGTAATGAAATCAATCCACTGGTCGATGTTGTTCTTGTTATCCTGAACTAAATTGCTATGCATTTATTCATTTACAAGCTGGTTTACACTGAATTCAGTGGGGCTTACTTCCAAGGAAGTGAGCATAAGATTGCAGTCATGTGGGGCACATTTACTCACAAGTAACTTCCACTGTGTTTAATGGGGATTACCCTAGTAAGAGCGTTTATGCTTGTGACCTTAGTTCCCCTTTCGTAGCCTCTCTGCCAAAATGGCAATAATCATGACTCATTAGTGAGATGTATCCTTAATTGTCACATTTAGCCTGATTCTTGTCCAGTTTACTCTTGAGATGTGAGCCTTATCAAGAAGAAAACATATTTTATCCATAAGTCTTTTATATGTGACATCTAGTCGTGGGACCAGTGGATCGTTGAAGGTTTTATACCATTTGGCTGCGAAGTCCTCCAGCCCAGGTGCTTTACCAGCTTTGTCGTTTTTAATTGTGTTTTCTATTTCCTCCACTTGCAGAGGCCTCTGAAGCATCTGTGCTTGCGCCTCTAATAGCCGTGGGAGCTGAACTTTATTCAGGAAAGCATAAATTGCTTCTTGTGTTGATTCTCTCTCAGGAGTGTATAATTTTGAATAAAAGGGTCTAAGTACATTATTAAGCTCAGTTATTTTGGTGTGCTATTTATTCTCAGTGATCCTCAGTAGAGAAGTATATGTTGAGCATCAAGCTTACCTCCATTTGTGAGCTAACAGGTCGGCCAGTCTGCTATCTTCCATACATTTGTTTCATGCAAAGGAACCTGGCCTTTATCTGTACAAATTTTATTAATTCCATATTCTTGCTATTGCATTCTTCAGAAGTTCAAGGGAGGATGAAGCAGCACTGACTTTTACAGCTTTCAGCTTTCTGCTCCCCCAATTTGATTGCATTTTGAATTATACCTTTTCTTTTTGTAAGACTCATATGCAATTACTCTCCCTCTGATGCATCTTTTAAAGGGGCCCCATAGTATTATTTTGGAAGATCTGGAAGCCCTGGAACTTTAATCTCAAAGAACTGTTTGGTTTTATTTAGCAGTTTGATTTTAAGCACCTCATTATCTAGGAAAGAAACATTCAATTTCCAGGTTGCTTTAGATGGCGTTTACATGATAAACCCAGCATCATTTTGATTCACAATGATACAAATGCCAAAAGTTTTTTAAAATGGGTTCATTTCCTTTATTTCATTTGTACTCATTTACCATTCAGTTTTGGGCAGAGGGGCTTCACTTCTCCAGTGCCAGTGGAATTGATTTGGTAACCACCTCCAGCCTGCCACTGTTGCATTTTCCCACAATATCTTGGACATTACAACATTCCAGGGCATTCCAGGAATGAACATGGTGGCCGCTGAAAACAGCTCTGCCATCACAACCACCACATGCAGAAGTTAAATAATAGGAAAGGAAAGGAAACTGGGGAGGGGGGAAGTAACAAAACTGAATGTAACAAAAACAAGTGTAATTTCAATGAATAATGAAAGAAATTGGGGGCCATGAACTCAGATGTCCATAATAGCTCATGGGACAAACAGCAACTCATCACTGTTTTTCAAGAGTGGGCTGGAGATAAATGGATAAGTGATTTTAAGGAATGAATGAAGGAAAATAAAGGGTTTTTTATAGCGAAAATGAATTTTATTGTGCACCTCTTGTAATACTAGCATGCTGCACACTAGGAAACAGTCTAAGAGGAACCAGTTGTGATGTAGTGAAAAGAGAAAGGGAAGTTCATTTTCTGTGAGATTCAACATTTACCATAGATCCTCTAGATCAGCCTCTTGGAAATGTGCCTGGATGCATCTTCTAATCTCAATTAGCACAAAATTCCTGTCCATGGATGGGTCTATTAACTTATTCCAATTTCCACCATTTATAAAACTACCCAGTGTTAACTTGAACACTTTGGAGGAGGAACTCAACAATGCATTGGGCTGTGTAATGAGGATTTGTAAAAGCCTCAGACAAGGCATAGAATCTGGGGCAGAGGTATTTGTGGAGGACTTAGCATCTATTTCCCTACCTAGTATGAATGGGGCTGTTTTCTTGCTTTCACTGCTGGTACCTGAATTCTGATGCTCCGGGAGAAAGATGTGTTGTTGTTTCTTCCCTTCTGAAAGCATTCGTGGATGGGCATCATACAAAAACAGTGTGCACCCAGAAAAATCTGTCAAGTATGCCATGCGATGGCTTCAGAGGGATTGTGTTGCTCTGTGAGCAGTCCTACCTGCCTCTTCCCAAAAAAGTTATATTGTGGTAACCGAGGGCATACTGCCTTCATGCAGGAGCAGGTCCACAGCCCATAAAGCCACAAGCTCTGGGCGTGTGTGCCTTTGTGCACAGGCATCTCCATAAATTTCGGTGCATTAAAACCTTCCATATGCTGGGGGTTGGGCTGTTTAATAAATTATTTTGTACTTGGCTGCAGGCCGAGCAAGAAGAACTGCTTGAGGAATCTTCTGTGCTGTGTTCAAAACCGCACCCTGATTGAGAGGCAAGTGCCAGGGTAGCTGGGAGAAAACACTCCCAATGAGAACAAGTGTTCGGGGTGTGGATGTTTTCCAGGCTTGCATCCGGCTGACCCATTTTAGGGCTGCTTGCAGCTTTGCGTTCGTATCGTTGAGGGCAATGTGCGCGATTTGAGGAACACAATGAAATCAAATAAAACAGCAGCCCTTGGAGGACTTTAAGCAAGCCCGGCTCTTTTCCTCCTGGCACAAACCGAAAGGAAATATCGCAACTTGCAAGGACCTTGTCAGTGTAAAGAATGCTAGTTTGCGGGCCATGGGAAGATATTAATTTTCCAGTTCCTGGCATATACAAGGCTAATGCAGAGAGAGAGAAGGATTAAGATGACCAAAAATAAAATGATCATAATGCCCAACACACACCCTAAAACAGAACCTTGCTATTTAAGCGTAGCTTGAACCTCATCTAAGAAGCATTATATGCTGGCTTGCTTGGTGTTTTTTTTTGGGGGGGGGTTTAAAGGAACCTTAAAAACATATATTGTATAAGAGTTTATAAGGTGCAGACTGGCATGGAAAGTAACGGGCTCTATGTCCTTAGAGGTCTTTAAGAAGTTGTCTCCCTAGCAGGGATGTTGCACCAGTGGATTTCCTGAACCAGCAATGGGTTAGACTCGATAACATTTGAGGTCCCTTCTGGCTTCTTGTCTTTATCATACTTTTCATTGGATTTGGGATACATATTCGAGATTGGGGGGTGGGGTGTATTTGAAAATCCAAACCCTATTAAGCTGGGCCTGTCTCAAAATGGGGCTCTTGTCCCATTGCCCCTGCTAGATCTCCTTTCGGAAACAGTGGGGTTGTCAGTGACAGAGGATTCCCATGAACTCAGGAAACAGCGCACAGGGCCTGCAGGGGCTCTCCTCAGTGGCAAACAACATGTAAAATACTAGGTCCCATTTATAAAGTGGTGGTTTTAATGGGTTAGGACCAGGTTACCTGGAAGACCACCTTCTCCCATATATACTTACCAAATATTAAGATCTTCTTCAGAGGCCCTGCTCCAACTGCCCCTGCTGAACAAAGTGATGCAGCCAACCACCAGGGCCTTTTTGGTGATGGCACCTCAGTTATGGAAAAGTCTTCCCAGGAAGGTACACCTGGCACCATCCTTTCTGTTCACCCGGGCCTTTTAAATAACTGCAGTGATTTTTTGTTTTGTTGTCCTTTTGCTGATTTATATTTTATGGCCTCATGCACTTTTTTCATGCTTATTGTCATCCACCCAGATAACTACGTGTTATGGAGGCACAGATGTATCATAAACAAATGTGGGGCTTGCTCTATCTTTCCTGGCAGAAAATGATGCTCCATGCATCATGTGCCAATGAGGGTGAGGTCCCACAGGGCTCTCCACTGTTCAGAAATGTAACATGGAGCCTCATTTCTTCCTAGGAATGAGGAGACTTGTAGTCAACCCCGATGAACCCTGGAAGAAATAGACACCATCGTTGACATTTGCAGCCAATGAGAAGATCCACATGGCCTCTCTGATGTTGGTTAGAGGACTGAACAGTTTCCACCCATTCCCTTTCTTTTGAGATAATGCTTTCCTTTCTTTTTAGCTTGGGGAAGGGGTCAGTGTCATAAGAAAGGAGATGTAAGGACTACAGTGGGCATTTTCATTCTTCCCATTGAAGCTTTTCAAGCGATGAACTGGAAGTTCACTGAAAATCAGTTTCAGTGCAACCAGTAGGAATGAGCTGAATTCCAACTTTTCACAGGAACAAGACAGAGACTTTAAAAGACTCAAATTGTGTTTATACACATGATTTATCAAGAGGAAAAGAGAAAGTTTATTGACTGTAGTCAAGAGAGCACAATCTCCCCAGCATCACTGTGATTGTCTTAACATCTTCAAAAACTAAAAGAAAGACAAAAACAACCAGCCTCATTTAGATAATATCCATAAACTACTGGCACAAGAAGGGTTCCTAATCTCAAAGCCTTCAACTACAACATAATGGTTGAAAACCGGAGATAAACTAGAATTTAGCGCTCAGAGATACATATGAACACAAAAGGTGAAGCCTCTGTTCAGTTTATGTTTTTTAGAGCAGAAACAATAAAAGAATAAAAAGGGTTTATACTTTGCTGCATCAGCATTCACAGCAACATTCCAAACCCTTCCGGAACCCTCCAGCAAATTCTTGGATCCACATTCTCCCAGATTGTGGGAGTTACATTACTAAATTAACATCCATTTTTCTTCTAGCACAACCTCCAGCTCCTTCTCAGCAGTGTTACCAGCTTGCCAATTATCTCTTTGTTTTTCAATTGTGCCTTTGACCTTTTTTCTTTTTTGCTCTGCATAACATTCCACATTAACCTTGGGCAAATGGCATGTTTTGCTTTCTTGACAAATTAATGTCTAAATAATTTGGAATTCTAAAGTTCTACTTCTTCTTATCTCTCTCTTCAAATCAGAAAGCCTTTCCTCTTTAGAAATATTCAAAATGAAAAACAGAAATCAAGAAAGTAGATCTAGAACCTGGAATCTAGTGATCTGTTGCCTGTTGCTCCATGTGGTGAGGTACCACAGGTATCTGCCTGGCCAGTGGAAGGTCCCTAAGCTCTAAGGAAAATGTTTCCTTATTAACATCTTATTCGTTTGGTTATCTATTCATTAAAATCACATTCTGTTTCCTTATTCAATTTTGTTTCCCACTGCTTTCCAAGGGAAACCCAAGTGCTCTTCTGTTGCTTTTAACATCTGTGTTTTCCATCTAACCAGCACCATAGATTGAGGTCAAAGAATTAGACCTCCCAAATTTCTGACAGATGGGGGAAAGTCCCCATTTTATAGGCCAGATATTAATAGGTGCCCAACTGCTGAAGAAGATAAAGAACTCATTCACCTCACTTTTAAAGGGAACCCAGGTGCCACTCCCCCACAACTTCTGAGAAGTCCTATACTCCCAATAATGAGCCCATGGTAGCATTGTGTTTGCTGATGTTTCTACAGATGTTTTTCAAAGGTGGACCATCACAGAGCAAAAAAGTGGCTGGGACAGTGGGTTGATGCCACCAAGCCACTCTACAAACACCGGCATCACTGCTGCATAGTGGAATGGTGCAGGCCACAAAGGGCCTTGAAGTTGCCCATCTGGAAAGCAGATTAAATGGGCACATAAGTCACCTGATCGCAGTCCTTCCAACTATGGTGAGATTTACTATGTTTTAATTAAAATTATCCATAAATCACTAAAATTAGAGTGATTCTCTCAAAACGTGCATCTATCTATATCAATTAGCACGTGTACATGTTACGCCTATCTAGGAAGTAAGTTGGGTCCAGGAGCACTTCCAAGCTGCAGACCTGGCTTTGAGGGAAGTACACGGCTAATCAAGAGAAGGTTGCTGAAATCCAGATGGGTAGCTTCGCTAAGCAAGAGTACTGTTGCCTTTTCTGGACATCAATTTGTGCATCCTCATCCAGCCCCTCACTGATTCTAGGCAACGATTCAGAACACCCATGGCCTTCCTGGATTGAGATGAAAAGGATAGTGTTGGGTGTCATCAGCATGCTAATAGCAGGGAAGTGAAGTCCAAATCCCCAAAGAAAGTACACTTCACTAAGCAGAAAGCATTTTGAGGAAACAGTATGGAATGGATTGAAAATTCTTATAAGAATGGTAAGAATGACTGACTGGGTACTGTTTGTGCACAGACATGGGGAATGAATAAACCAGGAATCTGCAAACATTCTAAATCCAAGAAGGAACTCAAACAAGCCTTTAATTTCCCTTTTTATATTCCTTCCTAACTTCTTCCCCACTGAACATAAGAAAAGCCCTGTCGCATCAGTCCAAAGGCCCTTCTAGTCCAGCATCTTGTTCTCACAGTGGCCATCCAGATACTTATGGGGAGCCTGCAACCAGAACCTGAATGCAACAGCTTTTCTCCCCAACTGTGATTTGCAGCAACTGGTATTCAGAGGCACACTGCCTCTGACAACAGAGGTATGCTGCTAGCATCCAATAGCCATTGATAGTCTTATCCTCCGTGAATTTGTCTAACCCTCTTTTAAAGCCATCCAAGTGGGTGGCCATCGCTATGTCTTGTGGGAGCCAATTTCATAGTTCAACTGTGCACTGTGTACTTTCTTTTCTTTGCCCCGAGTCTTCCAACATTCAGCTTCGTGGGATGGCCCCAAGTTCAAGGGTTCACTTTGGAAAAAAGGCCTATTAGGATATTTTACACATTGGCTTCAATGTTTGGACAGTTTACGGTGTCAGTCTCCCTCTCTTTCCTCCCTCTCTCCCCTTCCCGGCATCCTTTATTTGACCTACAGTATTCTGGCTACTAGAGGGGAACAGAAGCAGAGTTCTGGGTGAAGAACAAATGAATATCTGGCATTTGGAACTCATTCATAATTCTGGCATTCAGCCCTTTCACAGTAATGAATGTAGCAAATGAGCCCCATTCATTTCGTTTGCTAACAAAATGAATGTATATCCCTATTGTGCGGTGACTCTGCCACTGGTTAATCTAAGCTGGAGCAACAATCAAGGCTTCCAAGTTTTCCCGGGACATTGCCTCAGCAGTAAAAGTAGGCACTGCCTTGAATTCCTGCTTTGTGATTCCTCACTTTGGATTCCTAGTATATTAATGCTGATTGTATTCTGGATATGTACAAACTACCAACTATTCTAAGATGGCTGTGAGACCATATCTTTGAAATATTCATGTAATTTGTGTGCAGATGAAATCTCATTCTGTCACGATAACATGGGTGAGGAAGAACCTATGTGCCAGTCCAAGCTCCTTGGAGGAAGGGTGGGATGAAAAATGTAACAAATAAGTTTGTGTTCTGTCATAGTTGTGTTAACCTACGAAGCCTGCCCACCCTGTTTAATGCTGTTCAGCTGTCCTATCATTTGCCTGCATTCCCGAATCACTGAGGATAGTTTCACATTTATTGCCTTCTGGCTGACCCAGAACAATGCTGGGTCAAGGAAGAACCACCATGGAGGACAATGCACCAGCATGCTATGGAAATTCTTCCCAAGTGACTCCCCGTCATTCAATACTGTGGTGCTGCCACCCGAGTCAGGCTGACCCAAGTTGGATTGACTGTACTAAGCATTACATTCATTTATCAACAGGTCAGCTGACTTTACTGATTGATTTATTACCATGAACTCAGCCTTTTGCCCTCAAAAAAAGAGAGAAAAGCACTCAAGATGGCTTAAAGCTCACAATAGAAAACACACATTAAATAAACCCCAGGTCCCATGAAATACTAAATAAAACGATAGAAAACCAACATGATAGGAAAAGAATTCTATGCTTAGGAATGATCTCTACAGGCAGAGGCTTGCTTAGGATGTTCTATCACCTCATATGAATAGAAAGTACATGTTTCATGCTCCTCTGCAACTTCGTATCAGAAATAAAACACCTATACCATGCCTCTCCCCCCCGCCCAGTCTCTGGACTTCCACTTCAAAATTAAGCTCAGTGTCTTTTGTTTGTTTGACCAGTCCATGTAATCCAATCACTTCACACTTCCCCAAGTGCTGATGGGTGAACAAACAACGCTTCTAGTGGCCAGGCAAACCCCTCCTCCCAACTTTTCACAGGTCTACTTGCCCTCTTCCTCTATGTAACAGGAAGCTTTTAATGTTTGACATTTTATTAAGTTTTTATAGGTGCTGGAAGATGCCCAGAGCTTAGGAAAAGGGGTAAGAGGGAAACAGGGTAGAGGCGATAGAATATGCATGATGTGGAGAAAGTGGATAGGAAGCCCCACCCCATTCCTCTTATAATACTAGAACCAATAAATCTGAACAGTGGGAGATAAGGGACTGACAAAGGGAAGTGCTTCTTCACATATTGCAGTGGTCTCCAAACCTTTTCTTCCATGGACTACTTGAAAACTGTTGAGGGTTTTGGTGGATTGCTTCATAGTTTTTTCTGCTTGCTTTGGAAATTGAAATGCACAGTGCTAGATGCTGTGTGATTTTGAATTGCAAGCGTGATGTGGACCACCTCAATGAAGCTCATCAGCAACTGGTGGCCTACGGACCACTTAGGGAACCCCTGACATAGTGAAACGATGGACTTTACTATTACAAGGTATTGTTCGGGCCATCAGTTTGGGCAGTTTCAAAAGGGGATTAAACAAACTCATGGTGGATAAGGCTGTCAATGGCTATGAGTCATGATGTATGCACACCCTCCATGGCAGTATGGCTCTAAATACCACTTGCTGGGGACTACAAGTGGGAAAGGGCTACCATGCTCACGTATTGTGAACCAAGGTCTTTGGTTTGCTCCAGTAGGGCTCTTCTTATGAGTAGTTCACCAGGCAGCACTTCACAGAGGCCCTGATTTCTGGCCTACAAATCTCACCAACAGAAGACTTGCTTGGGATGTTGATGTGCTGCAGTACTTCAGGCCTGGGCCTAAATCCAGGTTTAATCTATCTCAGTGCAAAAATTGTTCCTTTTTGTTGAGACTGAGCATTCAAAGACATTATAGCTTTGAGAAATCTGTTTGGTCTAGAATTTAGTCTAGCCCTTTCAGACTGAACTCCCAACCTTTATCAGCCCATGTTGTTTTCTGAAGTCACTTAGCATGTGCCTGGCTGACTGCCGCCACTCCAGACATTTCACCATATAAATGCTGATAGAACTATCTTTGGGTATGTCTCATTTATCAGTGAGATGTCTCAGTCATTTCCACTCCCCAGCCTTTTGGAGGGATAAAGGAATCCCTTTTGAGAATTCTTTGTCTTGAAGGGTAAACTGTGAAGGCCATAAACTGTATTCTTTTCTTCTTTTTTTAGCACCTCACTGAGGTTAGAGATGGAAAACAGTGTTGAATGTTACATTGTCATGGAGGGAACAGGAAATGCGGTTGTTTTGCACTTGCTACTCTTTTTCCATCTCACTCGCTTGTGTGATATGCAAGTGCCTGTCTCATAGGTGTGAGGAGAATGCAGAAAGTTCCATGGTGGGCGAGACAACACTATGGAGAAACAGGAAGCGCAAGCCATTGGAGCTTCCTGTCCCTTCCTCAATTAATTCTCTGAAACTGCTGATGTCATGCCGGCTGGCCACCAACATCTTCATGTCAAAAAACTGTGTGAAGCTCCTCTCCATGGGGTGTGAACTTCATTTGCTCCACAACAGAAACATCTGGCTGAGGTCAGGAAGTACATGCTGGCTGGCCTTGGTGCCGGGGGATCCTGAAGTTAATGCATTCTTACCTCATCAGTAGGTGTCACTGTAGCAGAGGACAAAGTCTAATGGAAGGAATAGAGAGAGGGGGGAATAGAGAGAGGGAATCCCAGCCAGCCAACCAGAAGCAGGAGCTGGCGTAATTCTGCCCAATTCTAGCCAGGAGAGCAGTGATGGAGCTGGGTTTATGAGTTGCTTGTAAGGAGGCTATAGGAAATGGGAGATTAAGGAAATGAGTCATTATGTGATTACAAAGACATGTGGAGTGCACACATTTGTGGCCTATAATGCTGCTTTGAACAACCATAAATTTCTTCTACAGGGGCTTTGGGAAACGTTCCTGCTGAACTCCAATGTGGTAGCGAGTTATAGTTCAACAAATAGAGCTGGAATGAATGTTTTCAGCATGAAATCTTTGAAATGCTTCTAAGCCCAGTTCAGCATTCCTCCTCTAAATCAGCATGAGTTGCAGAAACCAGAAAGGTCACTTCTAGTGGTGGAAGGCCATTTGCCGCCTTTCTCCATCAACTTTGAACAAGACTGTGATCCTCAGGGGACTTTTGTTTGCTATGTTAATGAGCTGTGATAAAGCAAGTGGCTCGTAGGAATGCTGTTCCAGCATCAAGAGCATACGTTTTCTAGTTTTAGTAAGCTCTAGCCTGCCTCTTAGAGAAAGACATGCACTCAAAGAAAGGGAAATCTGCATCCTTATTTAAATCTGAAAGCCACAGCCCTGGCTGATTTTTCATCTGGGTTATTCTTCAGGTAACATTCTGGAATCATAGAAGTCCTGAGGCATATGGTTCCCTGACAGGAGGATAAACCAATGTTGGAGTGATGGGCTGCACATTACCAGCATTCTATTGCAGGCTCATGCCAGAAACTGCTTCCTGGACAAAATGTTTCTCTTTCCTAAAGCGTTTCCACCACATTTCACTTCCAAGTGACTCGTGACTAGGGATGGACAAAACCGTCAGTTTCAGTTTGTGTCCATTTCTCATTTCTTTTCCAGCCTTAAAATTCATTTCTCCACATTTCCACGTCAGTTTGTGATTTATTTATTTAAAAAGAGGGCCTCATGGAAATCTCTCAGAATTTGAGTGCACATTTCTCCTAATATGCATGTTTTGTATACCATTTTGCACTAATATATCATTTTGCAAGCAATTTCCCCTAATGTTTTCGTTTCCATCCATCTGTCTTGAGAAACAATGAGTGCACTTCCTGGGATGCTGAGTTAGCAGCCCCCAAGTGACCTTCCCAGGGCGCAAGCCTAGACAGTGTGCATGGAGGTCCTGGGCTGCCCAGGCGGCAAGACCCTCCCCCTCGGCTTCACTGATGTGGTCCAAAGGAAAGCAGAGCAATATGTTTGGCACCGGATTGGCTGCAGGAATTGCCAGAAGGAGGCATACAAGGTGCCTTAGGGACTCCACTCTGGATTTGTGTTGGGTTTGCTCCTTAGCCTTTTCTTCTCCAGAAGATATCTCACAAGGCAGTGGAGGTTTAGGATCAGAGTTTTCCTTCTCCTACATGGGCTATCTTTCCAGGATGACGAGCCTCATCTGCCCCATCTACAGCACATGCAGAGACCACCTTCTTGACCATTGGATCGGCTATTCATCTTGTCTGCTCAATCTACCAGAGCCTGTCTTTGCATGCAGGGGAAGTCCCTTACAGAAGAAAGAAGGGTTGGCTGTATTAGCCAGTTTGTAGTAAGACAGGTGCTTCACTGAAAGCCTTTGATAGTTTGAGTGATTGCACAGGGCATCCAGGGAGCCTAGGACTTATAGCAATAAATTGGCATTTGTTTAACCAAACCAGATAGTCTGTTAGTTAATCAGAAATGCCTGGATTTCACCCACTTATCCATACTGAAATATAACAGGCCGGAATCAGTTTAAGTCCTAGTTCATCAGTTTCACTATGTTGTGGACTGAGTTAAGTGTGTAAGAAACCATCTACTGAAAAGCTAACACCAGAGCTAATTGCACCATGGAGATTTCTTGGCATGGTGCCCCAAATTCAGAACCATATTCTGTATCTTAAATTCAGATCCAGGTACTCATTACTAACAGGCATTGTATAAGAATGATACATTTAACTTAGGGTTAGAAGGCAAGGCCTTTATTGTCCCTCTGGAATCCCTCCCTACGTCTTGGATTTTTCCATTGTGGTGTTCACTTAATTGCTTCCAGTGTTGTTTGGAAATAGCTGGAGTTTCCAAGTCTGTATTGACTTGGAGAGGCTATGTTGTAACTGTATCGAGAGATTTCTAATGCTTAGGTGTATGAAGTCATGTTGTCCTGAGAATGATAACACAATGAAGAGATAAATCAGCCTGATAACACAATAAAGAGGTAAATCACTCCCTTGCGCTTAGGAGAATATTCTTCAGAGCCCACTAAGAAAAAACACATGCAATGCTGAAGCATGAATTTCCCAAGGAGGTTAAAGAATGTTTAAAAAAAAAAAAGGAAGTTAAAACCCAATGGGATCAACCAAATATATTTTAAAAACTGCTCAACGGAGAGCAGAAGGCTTTAAAAAACCAGTGGACGGATGTTGACCATATGACTTACTCAAAATCAGGCAAGGTAATCTGGAGTTCCACATCATCTGGAAATGGTTTTGCCGTCCATGTAGTGAGAACAGGTTTGTGCAGAATCTGATTCCTCTGTTCTACATAAGCAAGCAACTTAGCTGATATTTTAAAGATCAAAGACTTTTTAGGATTCAATACATGCCTCTCCGTGGCTGCAGCACACATCAAATCACATCACTAGCTCTATGTGTGAATCCAAGTTACATCTATCAGTCTTCTGTCTCTGCAACCCAAGTCCAGATATTTGCCAAAGAATCTATCAAGCTGGAACTGGGGGTGGGGGACAAGTTTCCTAGCTTAGCTAAAGTGCTGCGTTGGTGAACTGGTGACAGATTCACAAGATTATTTTTAGGTGGAAAAATTTAGGTTGGAAAAATGTGGTAACACACCCGTATGAATGTTGAAGCACTCATATGATTGTTGTTAAGAATGAAGATATGTGCTTTGTTCCTTTCTTTTATTGGATTCATTCTTCTCTGCAAGCCTCTGCTCCTGAAGGCTGGCAAAACTAGAGAAATTTCAAAAATAATTTTGGAAGTGGAGCATACAAAGCTTGCTCCAGCTTTCATTTCCTTCCATTCATTTTCATCTCCACAATTAGACTTTTTTTATTGATAGATGGTTTGTGTTTTCTTTCCTAAACACTCACAAATTCTTCAGCACAGCAATTCTCAAGTCAAAACAGATCTTTTTGAAAGGGTTTTATTACCACATGAATTTTTGTAATAATTCTAGGATGATCTGGCTTCATTAATGGCAATGTTCATATTTGGTTATGTATATTGCATTTTCTGATCTTTGGATTTATGCTTTCTTGTGAACTGTTTCTATTATTTATTTGGGAAGGAAACCCAATAAATATTGTTTAGTTGTTGCTGTTTTTCAAAACCTACCTAAGTGTCAAAAAACACAATATTTAAAAATCACATCCATTTTGCTTTTTTTGGTGTATGGTTTTTTTAAAAAAATTAATGTTCAGGTGCACATTGGCAAAATATTGCACAAAAAGAATCTTGGTGCAATTAAGCATACAGTCACAACAAATTGCTAATTTGCAGTGCTTTTAGCACTGCAAATGCTTAACCACACTCATGGTGGCTGGGAAGGGTAAATTGGTATCAGACCAGGAGCTGAAGAAGCCACAGGATCAGCTCTCTTCACAATCCAGTGAAAAGCAGAAATTAAATGACATTCATTCAAACCACACCTCATCCAGTTAAGCTGTCATGTTTCATTTTAGTTCAATTTAATTGAAATTATACGCCACTTCTCCATGGCTGAAGAATGCAGCAAAGCAGCTCGTCATAAATGTCAACAGACATCATGAGCAATTCATAGCAAAATGCATCAAACAGATTCAAAAGTGCCAGAGTAAACAAGTCAGATGCAATATTGCAATGCAGTGAGACTATCAAATACAGAAGCAAGATCAAAATCAACAGCAACTGAACTCCCATGGTTATTGGTGGCCTTGGGCAGGGACATCTTGGGCAGGGATCTGCTGGTGGTCACCAGGCTCCATGGTTTGCAGTTGGCTCTCTCATCTCTCCTCTGAAGTGGCATGGGCAGCAGCAAAGGAGAAGTGCCAGAGAGGAAGCAATGATGGCAGATAGGGCTGGGGGAGATAGTTGATTTTGTTGTTGTTTAGTCATTTAGTCATGTCCGACTCTTCGTGACCCCATGGACCAGAGCATGCCAGGCACTCCTGTCTTCCACTGCCTCCTGCAGTTTGGTCAAACTCATGATGGTAGCTTCGAGAACACTGTCCAACCATCTCATTCTCTGTCATCCCCTTCTCCTTGTGCCCTCAATCTTTCCCAACATCAGGGTCTTTTCCAGGGAGTCTTCTCTTCTCATGAGGTGACCAAAGTATTGAAGCCTCGGTGGATTTATCAAATTTGCACTTCTGGAACAATATGGGAACCAAAACAACACAATATGAGAAATTCACACTTATTCTCATTTTGCAATGCAGTTCTTTAACCAAAACATGTTTACAAAAATGCATATATTAGAGGGAAGGGAAGTGTGCATAAAAATGAATATACAGTACTAGTGAAAATAAAATACAAAAAAAGGCATTACATTATGAGAAATTGCCTGCCATAATTTATACCTTAGTCAAAACTGCATATAGGAATATACAAAAAACAAAAACAATGATGAATTTTCAGGGTTTTTGTGTTGTTTTTTTAATTACTAATTCCTGAAATGTGGAGAATTGAAATTAAGATTGGAAGAAAGAGGAACAGAGAGGAGCAATCCTTCAGTCACTACTTCCAGGTGTTTTGGCTGCTACCCCAACTGTTTATTTGCTTCTCAAATTTCTGCTCCACCCTTCTTCCTCAAGGAGCCCAGGGCAACAGGCAACGAAGCAATAAAACGGCACAATTAAAAATAAAATATGTAAAAATATTTTAAAAGATTAAGAACATTTAAAACAATCACATATCCTCACAGCTCATAATGACAAGGTTGCCAGAGGGGATATCTTTCAGTCCTCATGTGAGCAGGAATGTTTTAAAATTCCTCCTGAATATTAAGAAGGAGAGAGACAGATGCACCTTGCCATGGACAGCATTCCACAAAGGGGGAATCAGCACTGCCAAACCACTGCCCATTGTGAGGCCTGAGATGGTTGATATTAAGGGAGGCAGACTTTTATGCGCTTGAGTCTCCAATCACCTTGAATTGGGTGAATTGAGCCAGTGTGGTGTACTGGTTAAGAGCAGTAGACTCGTAATCTGGTGAACCGGGTTCGCTTCCCCACTCCTCCACATGCAGCTGCTGGGTGACCTTGGGCTAGTCACACTTCTCTGAAGTCTCTCAGCCTCACTCACCTCACAGAGTGTTTGTTGTGGGGGAGGAAGGGAAAGGAGAATGTTAGCCGCTTTGAGACTCCTTCGGGTAGCAATAAAGCGGGATATCAAATCCAAACTTTTCTTCTTCTTCTTCCAGCAGCTCACAGGCAGCCACTGCAGAACTTTGGGGACTGGTGACACATACTTCCATCAGGCTGCCCTGCTCACCAGCCGAGTAGCTCCATTCTGCACTAGCTGCAGCCTCTGGACCATTTTCAAGGGCAGCTCCATAGGACAGTAAATAGTAAGCAGGAATTAGTGCTTTCATAGGGTGCTCTTTTCACAGCAGGTAAGAACTGGGGCTTTATTCACAGTAAAAGCAAAGCTTTCAAAAAAAGTAAGGAAACATTACATCACAATAATGCTGGAAGCAGAAAAAATAAAGCTCGTTACTAGTGAATTTACGGTAAATGGTTTGATTTTTGATGTATTTAGATCCACTTGGGACATTCAAAGGAAATGGTAAGGCAGAAAGTACGAGTGGCTTGTGTCTTCTTCCTTTCCTCACACTGTTGGGTCTCATCCAAAGGAGGAAAATACACATTCTTTTCCTGTGTCATGAAGATGGGCATCTTCTAGGGTAGATTGATTAGCATCGTGGTTAAAATCACCAAGATAAAAAAAGATACGCAGTTTGATTTTTGAGGCTTGTGTTCTTGTCAAAGGAAAAGAAAGGATTTGGCCTTTTTGCTGCAGATATTGTTATATTCTGCAGTCCTATTCCAAATCCCTTCTCTGGAGAATTTGAGTCCATATGAGCTTTCAGGGCATTTGAAAGGGAAGTATGACACTGCAGTATGCTGTAGCCTTGAAGAGCACATTGGAGAGTCCATCATGTCCCAGCTGAGATTCCTTACAGGTGTTATGTGACAGAGTCAGCACTGACCAGCACCATCAACTTAACCATTCAGTTTAGTGTCAAAATGGCACATCAGTCTTAGCTCTTGATTGGGGAGGGAAGGGGTTTGCAGGAGAGGAGTGGTAAAAGTGAGGGTTTTCTCAGCCAGAGACACAAAAGAATGGTGAGTGACAGTGATGGATATGCTACCTCAAGCCACAGATTCCTTTTATCCTTCAGGCCGGACAAGTGATAGGTGATCCAGCACATGTTATCTTCGTTCATTCTGACTCCTGGTTCAGCGAGAGAGAGGTGCCATGAGAGATGGAAAGAAGATAAAGTCCCTACCAGAGAAGAATGGCAGATCAAGTTGATGGATAAAATGGCTAAAATGACCGGAAGAATCAGAAATCAGGAAGATCAACATTTTAATCAGGAATGGGGAAAATTCATAATTTATCTTAAAAACCATTGTAAACAGTTAAAATAGTTAGTAGGGTTGGAATAACACTTGTAGTTTAATGGTGAATTTTGGACACAATGGAGAGGTAAAAGATTAGGATTGTTATAAAAGATGCAGGGGGAAATGATTAATAATAGGACCCACAAAGGGGAGGAGAGAAGTCCATGAGATTCTATGTTGTTTGTTGGATATATGACTGTAAAATATTAATATGAAAAACCATTATATATATATATATATATATATATATATATATATATATATAATATTATATTATATTATTATATATATATATATATATATATATATATATATATATATATATATACACACACATGTATATATTCTCTCAGAGAGAACTCATAGTCCTCGTATCCAGTCGCATAGCCCAGAATTTTTAGGATATGCTTTAACAGTTAAACTACGTGAACCAAGGTAGGTTTGTAATGCAAATATGCTCACTTTTGCCTGAGCAGTGTTCATGCCAGTGCCACTCCATCACCAACCTGGATATTTGATTTGTTTGTTCTTCTCCATTGCCACCATGTATCATGTTTCATTCTGCATTGTGCACTGTCCCTGTATATGTGCACTTCCCGCTCTCATAATTACTTGGCTCCTGCATGCGTTCTGGGGCAGGCTTTGTTTATTATTGTTGCTAAATCACATCACGTTTGTGCATGGCCAGATGTGCAACCCCCTGGAATTTAACTAACTCTGCTAGGGTATGCAAAATCTGAAAAACAGCCGGCATATTAAACGGAGGTCCCACGTTTTGCACTGTGGATATTATAAACAGATCATCTCCACACAGCAAGCCGGAACAGGAGTTATTCAGCTGTTCAGCTGAGTCAAAGGGAGTATGCTGTGCAGACAGAAATGGGGATTAGACAAATTTATGGATGACAGGTCTGTCGACCGCTACAATCAAAATGGCTATACAGAATCATCAGACTCAGAGGCAGTTTGCCTCCAAATATCACCTGCTGGCAGGCTATCTTTTTCAAGGTCTTGCTGCACTCTTCCCAGAAGTATCTTGTTGGGACCCCAGGGAAGACGGGGTTGGGATAGGTGAACTTTTTGTTTGATTTAGTAGGCCTCTTCCTGTGTTCTTAAAAAAGGATTGGAGGAGGAGGACTTTGGCGCAGTGTCATAGCCGTTACTGGATTAGCACAAAGGAAGCATCTCCTGTTCAGATATCACTTAAGCGGGGCATGGAAGAATCAGGGAGAGCAGGAGAGCAAGGTGAAATGATGGGTGGTGTCAGTGAGTGATGTGGAGATTCATTTGGGAGCGATGGTAAAAAAATCAGTTAGAAGAGGAATCATAGAGAGAGGAAAGGAAGCCAGTTATGTTAAATTAGGTTATTAGACAGAACCATTCTTCATTCCTTATCAAATGAATGTTTGTAATTCGTGTGTGTGTGTGTGTGTGTGTGTGTGTGTGTGTGTTATTATTAAGTAGTAGTGGTGGTTATTTTAAATTTGTATCCTGTTCTTCCTTCCAAAGGAGCCCAAGACAGCAAACAAGTGATAAAACAATAAGAACACTTTTGAACTTCTATTTATTCCTTCCATGGTGGATTCTAGGAGAAAGTATTTTCTGGCCTCGGTTTCTACAGCTGATTGTATGAAAGCAACAGTGGTGTGTGATGAGGGAGTGGGTGCAGAGTGGCAGCAGTCCTGCACTCACCTGGATAGGATAGAAACATGGTAAACTGGGTTCAATTCCCCGCTCCTCCACATGCAGCTGCTGGGTGACCTTGGGCTAGTCACACTTCTCTGAAGTCTCTCAGCCTCACTCACCTCACAGAGTGTTTGTTGTGGAGGAGGAAGGGAAAGGAGATTGTTAGCAGCTTTGAGACTCCTTAGGGTAGTGATAAAGCGGGGTATCAAATCCAAACTAATCCCCTCCTCCTCCTCCTCCTCCTCCTCCTCCTCCTCTTCTTCTTCTTCTTCTTCTTCTTCTTCTTCTTCTTCTTCTTCTTCTTCTTCTTCCTCCATACAGCGGCTGTGAGCGAGGCTGAAGGAGGAGGCTCTGTAGCCAGTTTGGAGAAAGAAGGTCATGTCCTGGCATTTGAGATTTGAGACATATATTTTAGGATCCACATTGTTCTTGTGATTGTAATTTGTTTTAAACTCTTTTTAATCTTGTATTTTAAATTGTTTTGACCCGCCCTGTGACTTTAGGGTGGAGGGAGTGTAATAAATTATCAACAACAACAACAAGCTTTTGTTTGTTTTCTTTGGTTTTACATGAAGAAGCATTCAGAAATGTGATCTCCCTATTTGCAGCCTGCCCTAGTTCTATCACCTCAAAACCCCACAACCTCATTTCCTTGCATGTCGCATTCATAAACCAAGCCTCAGTCTCCTATTGCTGTCTCACATATGGTTGCTTAACTAGCAGATCTGAGAACGCTTGTTCCCAAAACCATTGCAATTTTAATGCAGATATCCAAGAGGATTTGATCAGAGTGTATGTGAAAAAATACACCCCAGACTATTATTTCCCCTCCCTCCCCCTGCACCCTCCCTGGGTTTGGAACCAGATAGGATAGGATGGATATGATCCAATTATGACAATTCGTTAGCAGTTGTATTAGGGGCTTCTACAAAGACAGTGTCCCTGGAGACCCATATTACATGTCAGCCTCTCTCAAAATATTAGAAAGCAAAACCTCAAAATATGTCCTTTAGCATTAGCCACTATAAACTAATGAGGCATGACCACTTCTTATCTCTGTGTGGAACTAGAACAAACTGGACTTCAAATGTTGGTGATATAACAAGGTTTGGGATCTCTTCCACCTTCATCTGTCTATTTATGAGTATGATTTATCATTTTTCTGGAAGCTGGTTGCATAGTAACTTGCAATCTAAATCTAAACATTACCCAGTTAAAATGCATGCACGGATACATACTTAAATCCTCATTAAAATAAAAGTAAGCACACACACAAACACCAAAAAAGAAAAAGGAAAAAGAAACCCACAACAACAACTCTTCACTGGATCGTTTACAACATTCCCTTCAACAACATTTCTTGGATGTGCCAGCGAGTTACTTGGAAGGATTCACTGCTTTCTTAGAATATGAATTTCCAAAAGATAAAATGACCCTGGGTGAAAAGGCAGCTGGATCAAATGCATTAACTCCTGCAGTTCAAAGACAGCCCCACCTTCTATCCAACTGAGGGGTGATCTGAATAGCTGCTAAACAAGCATTAAATGAGACCAAGGTCACAGTGAAGGATATGACAGATCATCTCTCTGGTTTATGAGACCTAAAACAATTATTTGCAGACACACATGTGCCACATACAATGGTTTTGTTGTTGTTGTTTATTTCACAAGCTATCTGGAAGGGAAAAGATGACTTTAAAACATTCTCTAAATGTTAATGAGATGTCACTGGATCAAGATGAATTTATATTGTTGTTCCCCCCCACAGAAGTGGATTAGATTTAAGGATGCCAACCCTTAACATCAAAATTGTTGGTCCCTGGTCAGAAGAGGGGTCCTGTGAATCTAGGGCTGGAACCCTGGGACAGAGCCAAGGGTGGTTTCTGGCAGGTCCAGGGTCAGAACTGAGTGGAACCAACTTAACAAGTTTCATTGCTCTTCCTGGAATGCTTTGGCTTTCAGGAAATTCCTCAAGAGTTTTATCTGAACAAGACTCCCTTCCTCCCTCTTCACTTCAAACTTTACTTTAGGTGACATTTTGGTAGCAGCTCTCATAAGCTCAGCTCCTTAAGTCCACCTTTGGTAGGTTGATTGTGGCAGCCACCCAGTGTTATCCGGATTCTCAGGGGCTTAGAAACAATTACAAAATTCTCAGGAAAAAAGGCAGTGCACTCAGAATGCAATGAAAAGATCTTTGCCCTCCTGCTTAACAAGTGGGCGGGGGTTTAAATCCTCATTTTATTTTCTCTCTGCCAAACAGTTGTATAATTGTATAGTTTAATCACTTCTATCTGGATACAGTTTGCTTGTTGGGTT